CACATATATATACAGTACAGCCCCTCCTCCTGATGTCCCGCCTTCCACTCCCCATAGGATGGAACTTTCCCTCCAAACTCATGACAGACAGGTAACATCAGTGCTGTATGTAACAATGATCTGAAGCTCAACCTGAAAAAAAAACTAAGATCATGACCACTGGCCCCATCTCCTCCTGGCAAACAGAAGGGGAAGATATGGATGCAGTGACAGATTTTACCGTCTTGGGCTCCATGATCAGTGCAGATGGTGACAGCAGCCATAAAATTAAAAGATGCCTGCTTCTTGGTAGGAAAGTGATGACAAACCTAGACAGCATCTTACAAAGCAGACACATCACCTTGCCGACAATAAGCCGCATAGTCAAAGTTATGGTTTTTCCAAAAGCAATGTGATCAGGTCCTTCATGTTTTGGTGGCGGTTCCCTCATTTTGGCGGGAATAAGAGACGGAGGCAATTTTAAAAACTCAACTGATTCAACTTTATTAACTTCAATGTCCAGGTTGACCAAATTAAATGAGTCTAAACAACTTAATTCTGGTAAAGTCTTATAACTCAGAACTTTTGTTCTGAGTAACCTGGAGTTAACACGTCACTCCTCACACTGGGGCTGGACCAAATCGCTCTCCATCCGTCATTCTTCTTAGTGGGGTACTCCTGGCCACGCAAACTGTCCCACAACATGGGTGTCTCGCCCAGTCCCCTTCTAGAGGCGGGACATTGTAAGAGGGACTGGGACGAATCGCTTTCCTCCACCCACCTTGGTTGTGGGGGTAGATTACTACAGTCCATTCTAGGAGATTGGTTCCTTTCCTCTCTGTTTTGGGCAGCTCCGGATCAGGCTGCAATCCTCCGCCCGTCTTCAAGTTGAGGAAGTCTTTTAAGAAATTACAGACCTTGAGGCGGCTTCTTCTCTCTCGGTCTGTGGCGCGCAATCCCTTGTCTTTCCCCTTTCCCCTTTCTTCTTCTGTTTGAATACTAAATTCCCGCATAACTTTTTCCCTCTTTATTACCTCCTCCCATATAATCAAGTCTTGCTCCTCCCCTTGATCTTCTGATAAACACACATCTATAGCCCTTTTTCCTATAATTTCTTGTTCTCCTATATCTACAAGTATCCCTTCTACACATCCATAAGCTTCCTCCTACGTGTTTTGGATGGAGGATGGCTCCACTAACACTCTACCTCTCACAAGCAATGTATGGAAGTAAGAGCTGGACCATAAAGATGGCTGACCCCCAAAGAATTAATGCTTTTGAATTGTAGTGCTGGAGGAGACTCTTGAGAGTCCCCTGGATTGCAAGGAGATCAAACCTATCCATTCTGAAGGAAATCAACCCTGAGTGCTCACTGGAAGGACAGATCCTGAAGCTGAGGCTCCAGTACTTTGGCCATCTCATGAGAAGAGAAGACTCCCTGGATAAGACTCTGATGTTGGGAAAGTGTGAAGGCAAGAGGAAAAGGAGACAACAGAGGATGAGATGGATGGACAGTGTCATTGAAGCTACCAACATGAATTTGACCCAACTCCGGGAGGCAGTGGAAGACAGGAGGGCCCGGCGTGCTCTCGTCTATGGGGTCACGAAGAGTCGGACACAACTTAACGACTAAGCAACAACAATCTACTGGGTAAGTTGCCATAATAAGTGAAATTAACATGCAAGGGAATTACTTTATACCTTGATTTATAATGGAATGCTTTGTGGGTCTTCCTCCTTACACTGAATCATTTTGGGTCCTGGAGAGATTTGTCACAGTAATTAACACACATGAACACACAATGTGACAACCCCTATGTACACAATGAGGCAATTCAGCATATCTTTCTCACTTATACAAAATAATCACAAGTTTATTGTGGAATAGCTAATATCCTGAAAGAAACAAAATTCAAAATGATCTGGATGGGCTGGAGCACTGGGCTGAAAACAATAGAATGAAATTTAACAGGGATAAGTGCAAAGTGCTGCACCTTGGAAAAAGAAACCAATTGCATAGTTACAAGATGGGGAATACCTGGCTCAGCAAAACTATGAGCGAGAAGGACCCTAGAATCATCGTGGATCACAAGCTGAATATAAGCCAGCAGTGTGATGTGGCTACAAAAAGGCAAATGCTGTCTTAGGCTGCGTTAACAGAAATATAGTTTCCAAATCCCATGAGGTGCTAGTCCCCCTCTATTCAAACCTCCCTTGAGTATTGTGTCCAGTTCTGGACACCAGACTTCAAGAAGGATACTAACAAACTGGAACACATTTAGAGGAGGGCGACAAGGATGAGGAAAGGCTGAAAGAACTGGGCATGTTTAGCCTTGAGAAAAGTGTCATATGATGACACTTTTCAAATACGTCAAAGGCTGTCATGCAGAGGAGAGACCAGAAATGTTCTCTGAAAGGCTGAAAGACAGGACGAGCAACAATGGGCTCAAATTATAGGAAGCCAGATTTCAGTTGAATATCAGGAAAAACATCCTAACTGTTAGAGCAGTATGACAGTGGAACCAATTACCTCAAGAAGTGGCGAGTGCTGCAGCACTGGAGGCATTCAAGAGAAATTTAGACAACCAGCTGATAGATATCCTGCGATTTGGATTCCTGCACTGAGCAGGGGGTTGGACTGATGGGTTTCTATAATTTCTGTATGAAAAGCGCTATTATCACACAAAATAAAGTTAATTCTCGAAATATCACAAATCATGCAACAATCTTCCGCCAAAGGCCTTCAAGAAATCATATATTAAATCCGAAGGCCAGTCCGAACTTCAGCTGACTCACCAAGTCAAAAGATCTTCCCCAAAGGGGAAGTCCCATTCATTCAGTGGATCTATTATAACGGAAACAGACACCCGGATTTAATCCCAGGGCTTTTCCTACCTTCCAACCGAAAGCTCAACAAACAGCATTCACTGGAAGCCAAGGGCAGGGCCGGGAGAGAAAGGTTGTTCGGGGAGAGAAGAGGCCCCTTTCCTTCAGAGCCCTCAGGTTCACGGCCGCTGCATAAGAAAAGGTGGCCAAATCGGGATCCGCTCTGAGGGGAGGCACCTGCCTCGGCTGATAAACAACTCTCGGGGGGGATTCCTTCCCTTCCCCGCCCCCAATGCACCTCAGTTACCCGTGTCAACAGACCGGCCGGTGCACGAGGAGCACCGAGAAGTTCTTCCGGGGAAACGGCCGCGCCAGCAAAGGAAGCACTTCTAGGGGAGGGTTAAGAAAAGGCCGCGTTGCCATGGCAACTGAAGCAGCCTTGCTCGAAGCCTCCTCTAGAACGGAACGGAACGGGACGGGGCGGGGCAGGGCAGGGCGGGGCGAGGGGGTAGTCTTTCTGGTCACTACCGTTTTGGGGTGGTCTCACCTCGTTTATTTATTTTTTCCAGCATGAGCCCCGAGGTGAGGTTCTGCTGACCGCACGCTGGTTTTTCCCGTGGAACTGTCTCGCTCTCGGGTGACTCCGTACCATTGAACGTAGGGAGGTTTTCTTTCATGTGACTAAATCACGGTCTCAACGGTCGGCACGGTTTCGAGGAGAATTGAAATCAGCCTCCATAGGAGTTTGTTTTCGGTTCTGTGTATTTCTTCCAGGATAGGTATTTGAACTAAATAGGCTTGTTTGAACGTTTTCCAAACATTTCAATGCAATTTTTTAAAAAAGAGAATAGCAACCAATGACACACACCGAGGGCAGGGGCAGGCAAAGAGAGCCCCTTCAGAGCTTTGTTGGAAAGCAGGTCGTAATATTGCTCACTGTTGGCTATGCTGGTTAGGCTAGGGTGGAGTTGGAGTCATAAAATAGATAAAAAGACTGTACTTTGGCCACTTCTGCATCCATAATGTGACAAACAAAGACTGTGTTAAACGGGAAAGATCAGTTATGCCTGAAAAAATAAATTTAAAATGCTTTTCAGAAGGGAAGTCTTTAATACAGGTCAGCACACACAATTAGTTATTTGACTTTCTCCTGGGAAGAGTTCTATGGTTTCAGTATCATGAAAATGTCCCATAGGTATCCATTTCCCAATTGATATAGAGTCAATAGCCTCCTTTGCAACCACAAGAAAAGTTTACCATTCCTTGAATGGCCAGTATGTATGAACAGCATGAAGATGCAAAGGTAATAAGCAGCTGCTTGAAAGTTTTGCTTGAATCAAATATCCATTCATCCAAGAGATGGATCAATTTTACTCTAAACAGGTCTTTAATGCTCTAAACAGGTTCATGATAGTACATATGGTGGATTAATTATCTGGATATCTCACTGTCAATAAGTAGTACTGAGTAAACCACTTTCTGTTCTTTTTAACAGTGCACTTTTCTGTCTGCCTTGTATTACAAATGTACCTTACAAAATACAGTGTCTAATTTTGACAACATGGGTCTAGGAGAATCGCCCTGTTTCACAGCTACAGTGTCTAATTTTGACAACATGGGTCTAGGAGAATCACCGTTTCCCAGTACTGTTGGCCTTATGTTTTGAAGGAGTCTTGGGCTGGATGTCCTCACGAAGCCGCATCAGTAGACCTTTTCTCTTTCTTTGCTGCTGCTGTTAATTGGCCAGTCTGTAGTGCTGTCTAGAAAAAGATGAACTGATAATGCTGCTGAATTTTGACAACATGGGTCTAGGAGAATCACCGTTTCCCAGTACTGTTGGCCTTATGTTTTGAAGGAGTCTTGGGCTGGATGTCCTCACGAAGCCGCATCAGTAGACCTTTTCTCTTTCTTTGCTGCTGCTGTTAATTGGCCAGTCTGTAGTGCTGTCTAGAAAAAGATGAACTGATAATGCTGCTGTTTCTCTTTCTTTGCTGCTGCTGTTAATTGACTTGCCTTGGCCAGTCTGTAGTGCTGCCCAGAAAAAGGTGAACTGATAATGCTGCTTCTCCTTCCTTTGGTCACTGATAATGCTGTTCTCCTTCCTTTGGTCACTGTTCACTCAGATCAGAGCAGCAACTTCCAAGCAAAGGACAAAACTGCTGCAAAATGGAGTGGGAGCAGAGTTAGTAATCTCTGATATTTGGCCATAGTTGGCATGTGGTTTTACACCCAACAACATGACCTGTTAAAATTAATAATTATGTGCTGTCAAGTCAATTCTAACGTATGGCAGCCCTTTTCAGGATTTTCCAGGTACAGAATACTCTAGCCCTGCATATTCTACTGTGATCCTAGTGCCTTTCCAATTAGAGAGAGATGTGTGAAATGTTGTTACAATGAAAAGCATAATATAAACATTACTTTTTATTGTGATTGCATCATGCCACATCTTCCTTTCTCCAACATACTTTTAATAATCTTCCTATAACTGAAATTACTAGATCTGAATATTTTCCAGGAAAAAATAGTTTTAACTTTCCCGAACTCTGAACACAGATGAATATTCATACCAATTTTACCCAGTTGTATCCCCAGTAGCCTTGCTCTCCCCAAATTTAAATTTAAATGTAAATTTAAAATTTTAGACACTAAAGCTCATGAAAGTCTTTTTCATTTAAAAAAAATTCTGTGTCTTGTTTGTGTTAACCTCCAAAATCTTCATTCAGTTGAACCACAGATCTGGGAATCCAATGTCTATTTGTGGGATACTGTTCTTTTCTACATCTGTTCCAGTGGTCGGGGTACTTTAAGCATTTAAAAATCAGAGCTTCAAATCTCTGGTGGAGATACTGCTGTTGCTATTACTTGGTGCTCCTTTTATTAATGTAACTTTTTAAAAAAGTACTATGATGCTGGATAAGTCCACCAGTGAAGGCGAGCTAGAACGCCTTAAAGATGGCAAGGAGGGGAGAGAAGCTAAATCCTGTAGACTTTGGAAACCCCAAAGGCTAAATCCTTCAGGAGATTATTTAGTGTTTGAGTAAGAGGAGGAGGGTGGTCTATGAGAACACCTTATGGGAGTGATAAAGAACTTTTTTAGTCCAAGTGCACAAACTGAAAAAACCCAAACAAACATGGCAGGCGGTGGTGGAAACAAACTGAAAAAACCCAAACAAACATGGCGGGTGGTGGTGGAAGCAGAAGTGGCGGCAGAAGGGGGAATCCCAGGCACAGAGATGCCCCCAGACCCCCACTCCGGATCCACCTCCAGTCATGCCCAACCCCGCCACTGCCTATAGCTCAGCTGGCTCGCCAGTGCCAGCTGCTCCAGATCCTCGCCTGCCGCCTGTCAGGGCGCTAGCACCACACCTGCAGCCACCTCTTCAGGTAAAGGCCAAGCTAGAAGCCCATGATGAAGGGTTTGGTTTGCAGGAAAAGACTCCTTGTGAGGCCTTTTTGAGAATAGCTTTTTTAACGGCAAAGCTCTTCTTTCTAGGTAGATTAGTGGGCCAAATTCTGCAGGTTAGTTCCTTTCTGAACTGGCCAGATGCCTGCAGATCAGCTGTGGGAGGGATTACACTAATTAGCTATATAAACTTTCTTCTGGGAGGTGTGATTTGTTTTTAAGATAATGTCTCTCATTATTTCAGTATCCTCACTCTGCTGCTGACTCCTTGCTGTACATAATTTTTGGACTGCCTGAGTATATTTCTTGGATGTTCTCTGTTTATTGCATGTAACTTTGCTGGCTTGACTTTGGATTATGCTTGGTTCTGCAGTAGAATTCTGTTCATTAGACTTGTAAATCTCCCCAGATCTGAACTCTTAACAAGAATTATGCGGCATTTGATTTCCTTCACGTTCTCTGGGTGATATTCCGTAGCTCGCTAGAGGGCAGTCTTGTGTGGACATATCAGGCATAACCCTTATGACAGCATTAACATATGCTCTGTGGATATCTAAGTTGTTGCTGACAGATAAAGAGACTTGTGGTTGTGGTGGACAGCTTGATGAAAATGCTGATGTAGTGCACAGTTCCTGTGTGAGGAAAAATGCAAATTGCTGGGGAACTTGAGTGAAAGGGTGCTATTGCAGCCATGTCCTGGGGTTTCCGGAGCATTTGTTTTGCCTCTACGCAAACAAAATGCTGAAACAGATAGATAACCTTTTGGTCTAATCGAGCACAGATTATGTTCTTTTGCTTACTAAACCTTACTGTTCAGAATGACTTGAGGCACCTGAATATTTTTATGTTTTAATAGCAAGTTTGACAAGATCACCATTTTAAATACCTAGCATTTGTTTTTTCTGTCTGCTGTAGCATCTTCAGCATGTGGCAGAGCTGACTGAGTTGGCTTCTTTGGAAAACAGGAGTCCTCAATGGGGAGGGAAGTGTGAATGTGGTACATTATCCCATGTTGATCACCATATGGACTGGTTGCCTTTAACTTTCTCTTTTAAACATGAATAACTATGAGCAGAAATTGTCTGTTTTCAACATATGAGGCAATATTTCCCATAACTCTCTCACACATTTTATTTTGTATATATCTACCTTGATCATCTTACAGGCCTCATTAAGTGAGATGCTGATTCCACAGCTAGAAGCAGAGAGTTAGGGTTATTTTATCTGCTTATTCTAACACAAGCTTTCCTTAATCCACATTTAGCAAAATAGCTTGGTTTTGTTTTGTAATTGGTCAACTGGCAAGTAAAATAGCTTTGTGCATGTCTGATGTTCAGGCATGTGGTACTGAAAGGTTTGTGTGCCTGAAGAGCTAATGTTAAAAGAAAAAGAAATATACATTTAACATATGATCTGACCCTTAATAACAAACACCTTGCCCAAAGTTCTGTAATTGTGATTTAATCTTCTTAGACACCTTTCTATTTACCGCTTTAAAAAAGGCAGACATATTTATTTATTTTATTTATTCGATTTTTACCCTGCCCCTCTAGACAAACAGAAAAAGCATAATAAATGTATTTTCTCATCTGTTTTTAAGATTAGGTGTTTAATGTGAAAGGAAGTAATAAGGAGCTAAGTGAAAGTAATACTAGACACTGGGTTACGATAACTCATTTGAATTCACAGCAGTATAAAGCCTGTCTTTTCCCCTTCGGTGCTAATTAAGCTGTGGCTGAAATCACACCTGACATGGACACTATCTTTTTTAAACATCTGGTGTAGCCTATATTAGATGGTTTGTATGTATGTATGTATGTATGTATGTATGTATGTATGTATGTATGTATGTATGTATGTATGTATGTATGTATGT